GCATCCAGGAACCAGCATGGCATATAGGCTGATTTGGATACCTTACAGAAACCTAACTCCTAAAACAGAATTTTTGAAGGATTTAAACCCATAGCTTCATAGTTTACAGGTAAAGAATAGAAACTTAGAATTGTGGAGATGAGCTCTCCATGTGGATGGAGCTTTCTGGACATAATGGTACAATTTACTGCATTTTATCGATCTGGAATTACTTGTGATAATTTAATTGTGCATATTTAGCTTTTTTCCACAAAACTCACTAAATAAATGTTTAAATTCTAGACTACGGGTATATGTAAAGTTTAAGAAATTGAAATTTAGACTCAGTTGAAATTTAGAAACAGAACCTGTGTTATAAAAACATTCTTACTGCTCTAGAGTTTCACTCAGTGCTCTTTCTTTTGTGTGGTTGAAAAAACCAACGCTAATAAACCATCAAATAATCTTGGTTAGTTTCTGATTCATATTATTAAAACATTTCTTTTTAAAATGTTTCTTACTTTTAATGAACTAGTAGTTGTTATTTTTATGTCACAGAAAGCCCAAATGTAGCAATTCCCAGCCTCTGTGTGCCCAGTTCCAATGCGGAATGCTGCTGTTGAAGGGGTCTGAGCTGCCTTTGTACAGGGCATTGAAGGGCTGAGGGCCTTCCTAGGGATATCCCCTCAAATCTCATCATGAAACTGCCTCGGTGCAGCTTACAGGACTTAGAGGAAACACAGAGGACAGGAACACATCTTAAATCCCATCTCTTTCCTCACTTAGCTGCTGTGCTCAGTGCTCTCAGGAGGTGCAACCCTCTACTTGAGCTCATAGCTGACGCTGTGTCTCTAAAGAGAGGCTTTCCTTGAAATACAGCTAACGGAGATGACTGTTAGTGGATTGGCTGTCCTCAATGGCAGGAGTGCTTTCCCTGTCAGTTTGGGATTTGGTGTCTTTCACTACGTAAGGGGACTGACCCCACCTTTTCCAGATCCCAAGAATGATCTTGAATTAATCTGTTGTCATTAAACATTACATGGTAGGACTGGGAACCTTCCTGAGTATGGGGCTATCTTGTGGTTTTTTGCTTCTTATTTTCTTTTAATATCTAAACACTAAAGCAAAATAATGATAATAATTCTAATAATAATGTATGATGCTGTCTACTAACTTTTAGTTTAACAGATCAAGTATCCTCCTTTTCAGAAAATATGACAGATTCACTACTAGAGTCTGCCATAAAAACTCTTAGAAGTTGTCATGCTCATCAGTATGGTACATACCCAGCAAAAAGTAATAACCTTATAACTGCCTTTATCAAAGAAGATCATTTTTTTAAAAAAAGCAAAATTACTTTATTAGTTCAATAATAATTTCAGAGCTTTTCAAGATAAGGAGCAGCATTTGGGAGGGGTTTCATTTCCTGTCTGCTACCTTATCGGTCAGAACTACATCTCAAATGTCTGGAGATTATGTATTTTTAACCGAACTCTAATAAAGTTTGTGCTGGGAAATCTGCACACCTGACTTGATCTGTGATTATGTATTAGATAGCAAATTTTGCTCCTTTTTTTAGATGTTACTGTGCGTATTTCATTAAGATTTTGCCTGTAGCCTTGCTGAAGGAATTTGAAAGGTTTCTTTCTGTAGCTAAGTACATCAGTTGCTGATGATCTTTGGGTTAGTTCATAGCAAACAGAACTTCTGGGATGGAAATTTTCCTGCAATACAATGTTGACTGGCAAAAAGTAAACAAAAAAAAAAATACTTACTTCTAGCCAATATAGTTCTCAATTATTTGTCCTCCTAATGAGGAGGAGTTGCTGTCTTTAAAAACTGGAGGGAAGGTTGTTACCCCTAGGAAAGCCTGTTATAAAGAGTAAATGTTACAGCAACAAACTATGATATGTTAGAAATAAGTTTCCATTCTGGCTTGCTGTTATTTGTGATATATCCACTTTCCAACAATATTGTTCTGTTATTCATGCATTGCGTTTTCAGAGATGGCTTGTCAGTATCCCCAGTGCACTGTTCCGTGTTCTATTTTATCTTTAGAATTTAGTTGAAAATATCTCTGTGGTACGGCAGATAAAATTTCTGTTTCTTTATTGTATCAGAATTACCCAACATACATTCCTGTACCTTACCAGCCTTTCAAAACTGATTTGTTGCTACAGGTTTTAAAGCCTAGCTGGAAAAAATAACTGTACATAGACCACAGTAGGTGCTAAATTCAGGAGAGAGATCATGGAGTCAGTGTAGATAGTTCTGTGAATGTATCAGCTTGATTTGGTGGTTTGTTTAGTGACCATCTAAAAGATAGATGGAGTGTTTAAGCAGGCACAAGGGAAGAACTGAAAACAAGCAGAACACTGTATCTTCTTGTAGACTGAGATTTTTGGTTTTGCTTACAGATCCTTCCATTCACTTTGCAACATGGCAAAGGATATGGTATGACTAAAGAAAAGATTGGCGAAGTAATGGTTATTGATGATGATCAGAGTCTATGCAACAGTTTTCATGCAAAATAAAGACTTAAGTAGACTAAAGAGGCCCTTAGAAAAGAGGTTACTGAGGAGGAGGAAGTGGAGAGGAATAACTCAAGAGAATGTATGTAAAATCAAGAATGATTCAGAGAAAGTAAAGTGATTTTGCCATTTCTCATAATATGAGCAGAAGGGTATATTATAGAATTACCAAGTAACTGGTTTAATCTAAACAAAAGAAAGTTGGGGTTTTTTCTCCACACACCGTATAATTAAATTGCAGAGCTCATTGCCACAGGATATTGTGGCATGGCCAAAAATATAAATGGATTCAGAAAAGATTAGTCAAATTAAGGGATGCTCTTCATGTCAAACAATGGTCCAGGTGCATCCTCCAGTCCAGGAAGTCCCTAAACTCCTGGTTTCTGGAAGCTAGGAGGGAATGCCAAGGAAAGCTAATTCTGGACATGACTTGTTTTTCGTGTTTTTTCTCTTAATCTTCTACTGGTAACCATTAATTGTATAGTGTATGAATTGAGATGCATCTGTTGCTTGTCTTGATTGGTTTTTTTTTTTCTTTTCCCCCTGTGAAGGCTTGAGTCTCGTGTACATTTAGTGATTGTGTGTGTGCAGGCTGTAGTTGGATAATATAGGTCTCTGTTAAGCCCTAACGATTCACTACTACGTACATACACATGAGAGTTAAGCAGCCTATTTTAAGATGTTTTGATACCAAAGTGTCGTGAATCCAAAGAGCTCGATCTTAAGGGTCTTTTCCAACCTAAGTGATTCTGTGATCTCACAGTCTGATATTCCTTATCTGATGTGAGAAGAATGAAGTGAGCAGAGTCACATCTCGGCTTTTCATAGGGCCACCAGCTTGGGTCGAGATGTGTCGAAGTGCGTGCGGGTATCTACACTTGAGTTCCCTGAGCTCCCTGTACAGTCAGTAGAGATGCAGGGGCACAATTTATCTCATTGTAAAGTAGACATTTAAAATGAGTGAGATGAATTTTGCTCTGAAAGCGTCTGTTTCTCACTCTTTCACAATAAAGTGCTCTTGGACTGGCTAGCTCAGTATAAACGTAAGCTTTGCATTTTGTGAACTGGTTGACTCTCTGTGCTTCTTTCACTTGCTGATTGCATAAATTCCAAATTATCCTCCTGCTGCTGCTGTTTGGTCAAATATTTTTCTGTGCATCCAGTTAAAACTAGATGGTTGTAGTGCGAGATTAAAGTCAAACTATATATAATCTGCTTGACGTCATTGAAACATTTAATTTCCCTTTAAAATCTATTTCACTTTAAACAAAGGTAATTTATGTGTCTACTGCAAAGCAGCATGTAGAGAATTCAGAATGTTAAAGGGCAGAGCCCTCTGATGGGTCTTTCATAACAGGTTATATTAGAGCAGAAGCATCTTTTGGTTTTAAAAAAGGAATGGAATGATGTCTTACGTTGTCTATCAGTAAGTACCACGCCTGAGGTTTTGGTAGCAACCACAAATGCCTTTCCTTAGGGGCAGGCTATGCAGCTAATGAGAGATACTCTGTTAATAATAGATATTATGTCAGAATTTGTTGGTCTAGTACTTCTTGTGGCAGTCAGTGGGGAAAAACAAATCGGGCATCTCACATATACTTTTAGAGCATCTATTAAAGTAGTTGTGACATTTTTTACAAGACATTCTCAGCTTCAGATTTAAGGTTCTAACTTTCTAGAAACCAGCTTCAACACTGAAAACAGTACTAGTCACAGATTAAGACTTGTTTTCTAAGACTATGCTTAATACGGTGCTGCACCCTCTGCTACAGAAAGTGTCATTTACAGCAGCAATTTAGGAGGAATTACTTATAAAACCGCAACGTTTGCAGCTGGCTTTTCCTCCCAAGAGCAAATGAGACAAATAGCACTTCATAAGAGTAAATAGAGCCCAAGTGTTCCTTAAACTAAGCACTTTCAGGTGAATCACGTGCTGTCGTCCTTTTGGCTTTCTAAAAAGAGCATTATACAATTCATTGTCTAATACTTGCCCATAGTAAGTTTCTGAATGTACTGGCCAATTTCGCGTGAATTCAACAAGACTAGATGTCTCCATCTGCAGAACTAAGGCCCCATTAGTGCCCAGATGAGGAGAAAGACAAGATGGTCTCAACCCTCCTCTGTTCTGTTCGGCTGACCTGGAAGCTGAGAGCTGGCTTCCTGGTCTGGGTGAGACGGGAGGAAACAGGAGGTGCAGAGGGAAACCAAGGAACTGCAGTTGGGACCCAAGGTGTGGGAAGACTGGGACTTTGTGGTGGGAAGGCAGAGAAGACAAATTTGTAAGAAAATGAAATTTTAGTTGTCTCACTTGTGGAATTGCCTTTTTAAGTATTTGCTTTTGAATTGAGCTTTTTCTGTAAAGCTGTAAATTGTTTACATGCTCTGTCATGATTTGAACATAGCCGAGACAAACCAAAAGCATTGGTCAATAGTTTGAATGTTCTTCTTTGCCTGTGTAGGATCAATGTGAAATAGACGTTTTAAGAAGTAACTTACAAGGGGTGGTTACCTGCAGGATAAAAATAAGAAGGTAGCCCAAGCACTTAAGAACCTGAAAGAGGTTTGTAGATACTGGAAGGAGATAAGAAATGGCAGAGAACAATGTAAAATGTTAGTAAATTGGGGTAATTTCTTTTATTACTCCTTTTTTTTCTTTTTATTTTTTTACCTTTCCCATTGTATGTACGCTATTTTCCAGGGTCTTGTAGGGCTGGTAGAGTGTGGAGTCTCATTTCTAAGAGTTTCTTGACTTGCATGGATTCTCTGTAGTTTCACATGATAGGGTTAAAACATTTTCTCCTCACAGAAAATATTAAGCTGTAAGCTTTGTGCTTCAGAAGAATAGCTTGACTGCAGGGAA